AGGGTTAAAGGTTTTTTCTAAAATTGTTCCCCCCCCCCCTTTTTTTCCCCCTTTTTGGGATCAAACCCTGAAAAAAAAAAAAAAAAAAAAAAAAAAAAAAACATTGTGGAACTATTAAGATCCACATCCAACTCTTACAGTTTGCCAAGAATTTTTTCTTGATATCTCTTCTGCTGCCATGTCAGCTAAGTCAGCGGAGAAACAGGGTACTACTTTAATCATCCCACCGAGAAGAAAACACCTCAAAGTTCACTCCAGGATTGATCTTGTTCTTCATCTGCCAGCGCAGCGAGACACAGAGCTCTCTCGCAGCTCCACCTTGATCTCTTGAATTAGTAATCAAACTTCAGCGCTTCTTTCTCAACTTCATCTTTATTTGTAGCTTTACGTAACGGCACTTTCAAGCTGCATTTTTCTAACAGCAGCACCCCTGTGAAGCAGCAAGTGCCACATTTCTGGTCAAAACTTTAAAATCCAGCCATTATTTTTGACATCCTCAGATCAGTCAGCCGGTCAGAATGAATATTTTAACAACTAAAATGTGCATTTTCATTTTCCTTATTTTCACATCAGTCGCCGCTCCGAACTCGTCTTAACAGTGTACCTTTGACTGGCACTTGGCACACACCTCCTTCCATTACAGCAGGCTTCAGTAATCTGTTTCAGGAGAACTGGGTCTAATTAGCAACTTGAAAAGTTAGCATGGGGCAGGAGGGGGTTCCTGTAAAATCCAGGCTAGATTTGGTGCTTTGAAGAACCCGAAGGGGTGTGCACTTCTTCTGCTGAGATACTGTTCTGAGAACCGGGATTATGCAAATGTTGTTCCACTACAATAGTATTTCAGCCTATTTCATCAACATTTACTCCACATCAAACACTTTAACTGATCTCTGTCTAAGATTCCTGCATGCCAGAACACACAGCAGCTTTAAATTACTGTTAGTGTCAAATAAACAACAATTTTGACCTGTTTTCCTTCGCTTACTAACAACTGACAAACTAACGGGCAAAGTGGAGCAACATCTGTATACTACATGTGCCTGAAAAGGCACATGTAGTATACAGTCATACAGTCAGTTCTAGACAACTGATTGAAAATCTCACAATTTACTATGAAAGAAACACAGGAGGACAGCGTGTGATAGTCTATGATGCTTAGCGAAAGGAATTTACAGACAATTTGAGTTTGTTTTTTTTGCAACCAGGAATCTGAAAAGCACAATGTTTGTTTATGTTCACTTCAATTACATCTGGAACTTTTATGTGGTCTTGCTTCAGCAGTTTTCTACACCTAAAGTCTGTTTTTTTAATCAACTGTTTGAACTGGATTTGCGTTAGAGAAGTGG